AACAACTGTCGTCCTTTGGGAAGTTCTTCCGTTATCTATAGGAAATCGTGCCATATTTTGAACCGCTTGAACATATGCTGCATCCACTTGTGATATAGTTGCTTCATAAGTCAATGCTGCGTTTGCAACAATCGACAAAGATATTGATGGGTTGACCKGAGCCCTTGTGGGAAATCTAGTTGGTCTACGTGTTGGTGTTAGTGTTGGCCTCCTTGTTGGTCTTCGCGTTGGGCTTCGTGTTGGTCTTCGCGTTGGTCTAAGAGTTGGAGTACGTGTCGGTCGTCTTGTTGGTTGAATGGTGGGACGATGAGTCGGTCTTCTCGTTGGTGTTCGGGTTGGACGAGGGGTAGGCCGTGTCGTTGGTGTGTGCGTCGGTCTCCTTGTTGGTTCAATKGTGGGACGATGGGTCGGTCTTCTCGTTGGTGTGCGTGTTGGACTGGCGGAWGTAGGAGCCGGACTTGGTGATGGCTTTAGCGGTATGAATACTCTGTCATCGTCGTTCAGATCGATATCCCGAAGTGGAATTCGGATCATATTGTTTTGCGAGTTCATCCCACTCCAAATGTCCCACCAGCTTCTTGTGGCTGGAGGCTGGGGTTGATATTGACGGCCTCGTCTCGCTGGTTCGGCATTTTGAATGCTATTTATATAGGGTCCCTGTGTCGTGTATCTATAAGTTGCGTAAGTTTGAGGCGGACTTCGATTCCTGAGATTCGGGGGACTTTGATTCCTGGGATTCGGTGGGCTTTGATTCCTTGGATTCGGCGGACTTCTATTCCACGCATTCGGAGGATTTCTTGGTGATATTGAACTTCTTGTCTGTTGCCTGGGAGGCGATGGAAACGGCGGTCTGGTAGCCCGAGAACTGCCGTATTGATAATTTTTTGAGTGTCGAAAATTGATCCGTAAATTCGGCGACCATAAATTCCTTTGCTGTGTCTGGCGTTCTCCTTGTTCTTCGCTGTATGAAAAGKGAAGATCATCTGTGTCTTGTTCGTAATCATTCCATTCGTCTCCTTCAAAATCGTATTCATAGTCATTATGCAAAATGACATCTTGAAAAAGATCGTCGTCGTTCGTAGTTGCGACTGGATTCTTTGAGSTCCTGCTCGTACCGGTATCCGAACTTGTATTTTCGGGGGCATCGTGTATTTTTCCGACTTCTCCATTAAGGTTATAATTATCATCCCCGCGGAAAAAGTCCTCATCGGTGACGACTCCGTTGTGTGCGGAAGTTGCATGTTCCTCTGTATCATCGTTGAAAGCCTGATCAACAATCAAGGAATTCGTTTTGTTGTAGTGGGAGAAGGCATTGTTGTTGTCATTGTATGGGTTTTCTATATATCTTTCCCTTGCGTCATCGGCCAGCACAAAGTTGGTGTTGTGGTCGTCTTTTTCTTCGAAACTTGAAGTTCCTGATTTGTAGTTTTTTCTGTGTTCGTTTCTTTTCAATAGGCTGATTGCATTGCTGTTTTCCCCTTCAGCGTCTTCTGAAAATATAGATTTGACATAGCTATGGATCGTTGAGATTTTGTTCTTGCTTGTGTGTTCCAAACCAATGTACCCTGGGTTGTCTGTCGATTTGCTTTGTCCCGTCTTTCCCCCGTTCGAGTCTTYCAGAAAAGGAAATCGCCACGGATGGCGCTGGAAACTTCCTTTTCTATTKACGTTTTTGTTATAAATTATAGGAAAGAACCGGAGTCGGGCACACAACAAAACAGCGCCGACAACGACTATAGAGAGACACGAACGAGATATTAAATTTAGCACCATGATAGTTGGTAATTTGCCTCTGTTCAACAAATATTGAGGCCTTGAYGAGTAACCAAAGATGAACGTATTTTTTTAATTGCAGGTGCGAAACGCTATGAAGGGTATATCGAAGCGATAATCTAAGCACTCATGATGTCGCCGATGGTTGTTACAGTCCTTCCAASAAGAAGTGAAGAGTGAAACGTTCGCCAGAAGAAAATAATCAGACGGATGCAATGAGTGTGACTAAAAAATTTTATTTCTATGCATGATATTAATTTTTATATGCCCYAATCATGTTACGGGGAATGTTCTTTTGGGTGTATTATTGTCTCATGTGTGATTTTTCAATATATAAGGTTACTTCAGAAGGAGATGGCGATRAATTCAAAATGTGTATCATTGAATTCAGTGGAATCACATGTGGGGCTATTGAACTTTTTGCCATCCCTTCCCGCAATTAAGGTTACAATGCTTTGTACATCAGATGTGACCACACGTAGGAGAAAAATTATTTTATCATAAGAATGACTTGTTCTTCTAGATAAAGCAACTTCGTAGTTGTGTAGAAAYAAACATCACGTATTTGCAAACACAACTCGTACTTTACTGAATCAYGACAGAATGGTACGTATTTCCGAATTGGCAAGTACGTACGAGTACTGCAAATACCGTCAATGAACCGACTTCGACACTCACGGCATGTAATCTGATTCGGTAGTTCCGAGTACGAGTACGAGTAGCTGGTACGTACGGTACATACTAAACCGAGACCAGCCTTAATCTTTCCCATCAACTCGAGATCAAGTTCTCGAACTTCGTCGAATTACGTAGTCGTAATGTCTTCTCCTATTCCAGTAMGGTCCAAAAACAGTTTTTAAGTATTTGCTTCCATTCCTGAAGGCATATTGTTAGGCATGATATACTACTAAGCACCAGTTGCATAATACGTAGTACAGTGCTCGGTAGTACTTCGACATGAGTATTACTAGTACGAAAATAAAGTACTTCTACTACTATTAGGTTCTTAGTTACTAGTACTACATACTTCTATTACGATGCAGTACGGGTACCTACGTTCTTGTTCTTGTTTTTGCCTTGCTGCCTCCTGCATTTGAGAGAAAGCAGTGCAATCAAATTCCATTTTGAGTCCGACGAGTCAATCAATCGCTTCCTCGCACGGGACTGGGTGGAAGGGTGAAGAATGTTCAGGAGGCTCAAACAGCGAAAAGCACTTGCTTTAAAAAAATACCGTTTTGAAAGACTAAATACCAATACCAAATAGAAGTACCAAATACCAAAACCGGCAACGGCAGACTAGGAACTACGGTACGTACATACTGGTACTGCTTTTGASACATAAAAGCACGATACTCGTACTTCACCCGCTGGAACGGTGGTACAGTAAAAGGCAACAGCATCTGTTCCTCCCCGACGCCGAAGCACACCACCACCGCTCGGATTCCCGCTGTCGCATCCGATCCCGTGGTTGGACAGCACATTGTGTGTTGTTGGGAACCAACCAATCAACCAACCAACCAACCAACCAACAACAGCAACCACCGCATCGCATCGCATCGCATCGCACCGCATCGGATTCCACCATGCAGAAGGGCGGCGCCGGCTTTCGCGGCCTCGCCTCCAGGCTCCGGGAGCAGGCCAGGGATGCCGTGCAGGTCGTGGCGGAGGGGGGCTACAAGCTGCCCACCTTTGACGACATGGCCAAGAACGACGAGTACATCCACTCCCCGGACTTTAACGTTCGCGGCAGARCCGAAGCGGCRCAAGGATTCGACAGCAACAGCAACAGCAACARMAACRAAAACGAAAACAACGACAACGCCGAAACCACAGCAACCGACGACGTAGCCTCGTACTATTCCCATTCCACCGCATCGTCCTGGTCGTTGCTGGACCGCACCGTTCCCGGAATCTTGGATCGAAACAACAACAACAGCAGCAACAGCAACAACAACAACAACGGCAACCACCACCTCCCACACAAAACACCCAGGAGTTCCTCCGCCTCGCTCTCGACGGCCGCATCCGGTGCTTCCCGGAGGGGCCCCATCGATYCCGGGGCCGGGAGCCCTTGCCATCCCCCGGGCCTTGGCGCCGACCACTGCGAGAGCGAGAGCGACGAGAGCTCGGAGGGCCTGGACGGGGAAGACCCCGTCCTCGCCGCAATGGCGGCCTCCGCCGGGGGGAAGGAGAACCCCGAGCGGCAACCCGCTCGGGGGCACCCATCTCTGGAACGCAAGRGSGGTGCCCCGGCCTCGTTCGTCACCGTCCGAGGGGCGGGAGACCCCGGGCCGTCCCACCGGTTCCTGGACGACGTCCGCCTCACCGACCCCCTCCACAAGAGGGGGGACGAGAGCATGGAGGCCCTCCTGGAGGGCGGCCTCGCCCTTGCTTCCAGAGAAACACACAACCGCGAGCCCGAAGCTCCTCTCGAAGCCGGAAGAAGCGGCGGCCTCTTCGGCGGGTATTTCCGCGAGGCGGCCCTCGGGCACCTGGACCGCCTCAAAACGGGCCTGGGTGTCACCCTGCCAAGGAGGCAGGGGGCCCCTCCGGCCCCCCCGCTGGCCCGCAGGGAGCGCTATTCGCCAARACGGGGGCCGGGACACGAACGCGACACCGAAAGCGGCGCTTTGGAGTTCGAGACGACGACCTCGGAAGGGATGCTGGGCAGGGAGGACCTGGAAACCCTGAGGAAGCTGGGGGCGGTTTCGTCGGCGCCGGCCTTGTCGTTTCGGGGGTGCTGCTCGAATTCCTCCGCGGTGGTTCTCGGGGCCGGCTTCTGGCACGAGCACCGGCACTTTGCCTTTGTGGCCTTTACGCTGGGCCTCTTTGTCTACGTATACTTTTTCTCGCAACGCGGCTTTGCAGACGGCGTGGCGTGACTTGGCGTGGCGTGCGATTCACTCCACCGCCAATCGACGATAGAACGCAAATAGAACACGATACACTACAATAGAGCACAATCCTGCCCGGTTCCCGATCGGGCACACGCGGATTCCAATGTACCGACCGCTATGGTACCCAAAAGAGACTCTTTCGTTCCTCATCAAGGATGGCTCTGGACGAAACCAGAATAGCAGTGCCGCCTTTTGGTTTCCATTTCGAACCACCGGTCTCGAGACACTGGAGGGTACCGCTTCGCTTCGGGCGAACTGTAAAGCGGGATGCCATATCATTCACTCCACCGCAACGCGACGCTGGATTGGAAATCAAACACGATACCGGTACAATACAATACAATACAACACAATACAACACAACACAACACAACAAAATACTACTCGTTCCCAATTCCTGAGTTGTTGCACGTGCATCCAAATAACTTTCAGAGAGCTAAAATACTACGAAAAAGAGACAATTTCATTCAACTAGAATAATAATGCCACCTCTCTGTCTCTACTTCAAAACACCGGTCTCGATACAGTAGCTGGCCAAGCCTCGCTTCTAACGAACAATCATACTGCTTCGTCGCTGTCGGTCGTCGTGCCGTCGGTTTCGGTTCCGTCCACGCTTGCAGGGCCTTCTTCTTCTTCTTCAACGACGTCCTCGTCGGAAAACTCGGGGTCTTCCTCGGTGTCGTCGAACGGGAGGGGATCCTTCACCGGGTACCGGTTCATCTGCGCGACGGCCTCGCGGCAGAGCTTTCGCACCTCGGGGTGGATCCCGCGGTGGTAGGGGTCGACGACGGCCCCGGCTCCTCCTTCCAGGTCGTTCTTGCGGACGGCGTGGAAGGGGAGGGCCCCGAACTGCCGGACCGCGTCGGTTGCCCGCCCTATGATGCGGGTCAGRTCGCCGGGGGCCACCCCGGAAATCTCCAGCGCCTCGCTCCAGGTGCAGCCGTTCGCCCATGCCTCGACCACCTCGGCGTGGGACAGATCGAACTGGCAGCCGAGGACCTTGGTATCGTCTGGGAAGTACTGCCTCTGCACGTCCAGGAAGCGTTCCGTCCCGTCGAGGAGGACCTGGATCGATCGCTGCAGACGGGGTCCCAGGCGCTTGAACACACCGATCGAGTCCCCGCCGCGGCCTCTCCGACCGGTATCGCCCGTTACGAGACAGCTCACGTACCCGGCCATCTCACCCGGAGACAATTCCCGCAGGTGGTACAGCAATGTTTCTGCCTCCTGCTGCGACTTGGACGGTGCACTATCGTCTGCTTCTGCTGCAGCATCTCGATCGGACGCATCGCTGTCTTCGTCGTCGTAATCGAACAATTCCATGGATTCTTTCATCTTATCGAACTTGGCAGACGCATTCGTAACATCAAACGTCCCACCCATTGCCATGAWGCACCACAAAGAATTCTCGAAGCTCAGCATGCCAACGTCGGTGCCCGCTGGGGTGACTTCGAATGTTTCGTTCTCTAGATCTGTATCGGAGTATTCTTTTCTGGCGCCCGAAACGGGAGTTATACAACCATACGCAATCATAACCTTGGTGATAGCTAGCATTTCTTTCCAAGCAGAATCCTCGACCTCCTCCATCGCTTTYTGTGTTTCCAAAAGAAGCAGCACCTCTGGGTCCATGTCGGGGTTGGATCTGGCAATTTTCCTTAGCTTTCGTTTTACCACAACGGTAGACTTGGCAAACCTGGCAATATCTTCGGCATCAATAATCGAACTGTCTCCCATTCCTTCGATATTATGGAGTGCTGTAAGCAATTCATCGCTCTCTGTAGATTCCTCACTCAACAGMTCATTCGTGAACTTCACAACTGATGTAAAAGGATGTCGCTTCAGGCTTTTCTTAGCTTGCTCTACTCGCCCCTTTTGTTCCTCTACCTGCTGCAGAAGCTCGTCTTCGTCAAAAAGACTTGTTCCGTCGCCAAAGGAATCTTTCATTTCCATTTCGAGGCAACCCATAGTGGTTGTTTCCAATTCAAACGCCAGCTTTGCGGCCTCAAAGTTTTTAGACGATTTCTTCAGGAGCTCGCGATCCTTGAAAATGTCTGCCAARTAGGTCAAGAGCGCGGTGTCGAACTTAGCACTTCTGCTTTGGACAATGCGGTCAAACACACGAACCAACGTATTCACAAATTTTTCTTCTGCGACGTTGACCAGGACCTCTGCAAGTTCGTTGGCTTTCGATGAGCCATTCAGAGCTTCCTCCATCTGCAACCTGCCCCAATTCGCAAAGCTCTTGCTGACGAGTTGCTTCGCCACGTCGAGCTTCCCATTTCCCCTCGAAATCAAGTTCACGCCAAGGGAATACGATGGACGGAACTGYGAAAAAATCGGTTTGATCGGATCTGTTAGAACCTTTCCTGCGACGTCCTCGCCTTCGAACGGAGTTGCGACAATAACACATGTTCCTGTGGTATCCATTCCCCTCCTTCCTGCTCTCCCTGCCATTTGAAGTAAATTCGATGTTTCAAGGACTGCCATGGAACCACCCCCTCCTCTTTTCGCTAGGGAGCAAATTACCGTCGTTCTTGCAGGCATATTGATTCCCGCACTCAACGTCTTTCACAATGTTGTCAATTGGGCATCAAGAATTGTTCGTATCAGAAAGTAATGTTTTGTGAGTTTGATGACRGTKCATAAAAAAAGAACGGWAACAACATTCACACTGTCACAAAAGTTTTTGARCTCACCTCCGTGGCGAAGACAGCTTTCATTAGGTTCAGGCGGAAGAGGCTAATCAATTTGGAATRAAACAATAGATTGAACACAAACGTCGATTCCGACAAATAGTAAGTTTCGTGRCAAGAGAATCAATAGATTTCCAGTTTAGACGGAACAAACAAAAAAGGACGAATTTACCTCTCAACAAGCATTTTGTGTGCAGGGAGCATTCCGGCATGGTGACAGCCGAGTCCGAATAACAGTTGCTCGACAACGTTGTCAGCCAACGCGATTTCTTCGTTTTCCTCATTGAATTGAGCTACTCGTTTCGCCACTTCTCGGACTTCATCGAAATTGAGCAAGCCAGCAGAGGCGTAAAACYTCCAATTCTCAGAAGAGAGTGGGGATTCAGACGTAGAGAAGTATTCGTCCGAGAGATCGCTGTTGGCATCTAGCACCGAATTGAAAGCATTTTCATCGATGTTGTTGCTACTCAATCGGAAGGATCTCCCCTCATTATCTTCTAATATGACGTCACCGTTGGCATCTTTTCTACCAACACTCTTGTTTCTTCGCCTTTGATTCGCTGGACCACTCTGTTTTTTCCCGTACCTTCCCTTTTGCCGTGWTTTCTTGAAGTCATCGTCGAAGTCAAGATCAAAGTTTGGGTCTCGTGGTCCCTTATATGAATTGCAAATCGTTTCAGCTGCCTGGTCGCAGCCGGCCCTTGAAAAAATGAAGAATATTGCTGGAAGCAAATTCTTTTCTTTCAATCGCGTCAGCAGAATTGGTAAAGAGGGCACTGCTTTTCTCATTTCCTTCTTCGTTAATCGTTCTCGCTCTTTCCTCACCATTCGATTAGTGAATTCTGATSTATAAAAAGAGTCGTCGTCGTCATTGCGAGCACGGCCGCGACCTCGACCACGACCACGGCCGCGGCCTCTTCTTTCGCCGTACCAGTCGGTCCTATCGAAATCTTCTCTTCTASTTCTTTGGTTTTCCTTCTGTCTTTCCAACATTCGATTTACTTTTTGTACCCTCCTTTGTGCCAGTGCACCTAAAGCGGGATTTATTCTCAGRCCTTTTGGAAGCTTCTTGATGGTTGGAAACGCATCGTCATCTGTATCCGATAAAGCATTTTGTCGTTGTTTACTGTTGGCTTTGCCTGTTGAAGATGGGACTCCATCACCCCTATATCCTAACAGACCCAATGGGGAYCCAGGACCTGCATCAGGGTTTTTAAACAATGGAAAAATACCCTCTCGCGTTGCAAACAGGTATTTCAGAGGCACAGGTCTTGCACCGGGCGCTTCAATCAATTCAGTATGTCTTCCAGTGACAGTGGTCATCCAATCAGCTAATTCTTTCGCGTTTGATAATGTTGCCGACAGACCAATAATTTGTGTATGCGAAGGCGACGTAATGACACATTCTTCCCAAACTCCTAGCAAAGGKTTGTTTCAGCGTCAAAAGCACAAATAGATATTCAGTGTCAAGTCAATGCATKTGTGGATGTGACGAATATTAAACAATATAAAACAAGTATTTTCTTACCACCCCTCCCAGGCTGTCCCATGTAATGAAATTCATCCAAGACTACAACAGAGTTTTTCCGAAGGTCGTTACTACCTGAATCCCCCTCATCGTCCCCTATTTCCTTCKGAAGCTCACTATCTTGTTGTTCTAAGCTGCTCGATCTCCAAGCGATGTTTCGGTACACTTCTGTTGTCATGACGGTCAACCGAGCAGCATCTCTGTTGATCGAAATATCGCCAGTGGACAAACCAACGTTCACGTTGCCAAATATTTGTCTCAGYTCAGAAAACTTTTGGTTCGAAAGAGCCTTGAGTGGAGTCGTGTATATGCCATCGAGATCTCGATCAAAAGCAGCGTGAAGTGCCATTTCGCCTACCACCGTTTTTCCGGAACCGGTTGGTGCACACACAATAACATTGTGTCCCAACAAGATAGACCCGCCGGCTTGCAATTGCCAATCATCGAGAGGRAAGTCAAAGTACTTCTCGAATTCAGATCTTCCCAGTCTGACAGCATCTTCGACGTTTGCCTCTGCACCTCCGTCCGTCGACGTCGATCTGTGCGGCAACAAAAACGCCCTCCGACTCCCGACTTGTCTTTTCAAAGAAATCAGCGGGAAGGASGAGATTCGTTGCACCGACACCAGGAAGAGCATGCAAACTACGGCGGTAGTTGCAGCCACCGAGAACGAGGCRCAATGGTGGCGTCGACGAGCTACATTGTCGCGTGACTTGTACATTTTCTTGAGATACGACATCTCAATCYCGATGTACATCAACGCATTCCTGTGCAAGGTTTGGATGCGACTCAAAAATTTTATGGAATTGTAGTTACGTACGTTTGATGGGTCCATCAGCTAAGTCGTCTGTTTTCAAGTTTTGATGGACAAGGACTAGAAGAAGGAGAATCGAATCAACGGAACGTGCGTTTTTTCTCCACTTCGGTTTGCGCAGCCCCCGATGAGTCAATCAGGGACTGATTGAATTGAATCATGGATGGTAGCTACGATTCAATCGAAGGAGTCTWATTTTTGTCGCACATCGTCGTGCCTGAACTTTTCTTATTCTTACTTCCCACTAGTTTGTTCGATAGCATTRGGGTACTTCGTATCTTTGCCCCCACCAAAGGGCCAACTCGAAATTACCGGAATAACAAAATAGAAAAAGCTAGTACATCTGCTACTATAATAGTAGTTCTAGTGTTAGTGCTGGTTACCGATGCTTCTAGGCTGGTGGATGCTGGTAGAACAACCTCGACGACAAGAAGAAGAAGTTTCTTCGTCAATGACGTTCTTATGCGTGTTCCTCCTCTCGAAAGAAGAGGCTTCATGCATCTACTAACTAGTTCGTTGTCTAGATGTCACGACGACTGTCACTCGTGTCGCTCCTGCTTGTTCTAGTTGGTACTTCTAGATCGGACATCCCACCATATTTCAAGAATGAAAACAACGTGCTGTTATTCTKACGGTAGTAGTAATCCCCTGGACGATAGTTTCACATTGGCATGGSCAAAGGTTCTGCATCCAATGTCCTGCTCATASCTAGCACCAATTGTTGCTGGTGAGAGCTCCAAACATTCGAACAGTAGTACYAGTGMCCAGTACTCGTACGAARTACAGAGCAAGTACTCTTCGATCTTCCAGCCACTCTCGGAAAGATGGCCGCTAGTTGAAGAAATGGTCGTAGCTCTTTTCTCGTATTAACCCTTCCAGTTCGTGTTGGATCAACAGAAAGAGAGCGTTGGTATCGGCATCAGTGTTCATAGTAGAGGAAGGAAGCCAATGCACCTTGAGATAGGCCATGTTGTTGAAGAGGTCCCAATCCAGTCTTGCGGGCGTGCCCGTTGGTTTGTTGTTGACAATACCACCATTTTCTACATAGTACATTATGACACTGGATCCCCGGGGCATGAACATGGCCGACACTGCCCCACCACCGCAWGACGTAATAAAAATAGATGCCTGGCTCGATATTTCGAGCTGTTCCGCCAGGGACAGGTCGCTMAATACGTAAGACTCGACCGAGACGTAGGATGGGTGAAAATTCTGTTTCAGAAACTCCTTTTGCTTCTTAAAGTCGAAATTGCGAGTATCTCTGCTGGAGCTGCTCTCGGAAAAGACGACCCGAAASGGGGGTTCTTGGTGCGATTCCACCGGGATGCCCATGTTTCTCAGCATAAAATTGCGGAATTCGTATATCGTGCCACCCCTGCCGTGGTTCTGGGTGAGTTGGTAGTCGCTCTGGTCCCAGCCGTGGGTCTTTTCCGTCCCGTGGTCGGTCAGCGCACCGATCCCCGCCAGCCCGTGGCTTGCGCAAACCAGTGTCGTCGAGCTCTTGCCGGCATCGCTCGAAGGCCGAAAGTCGAATTCCTCGGTCGTGACGGGATCCTCTCGAACCGGGTCCGCCCCAAGCATCAGCGGAAGGAATTTCTTGTACATCTTCCGGCACGCTTCTTTCTTTTCATCGGTCCAGTCGCACGATGCCCACAGCCCGCGGGAACCCYCGCCGTCTTTTGAGTCCCCGTTGCCTTTCAGAATATACCGCATCAGCATCAATTCCTTGGATTTCTCCTTCAGTTGGAACATGCTGAGAAGCGTGAATATGGGCAAGAAGTCGTCCCAGACCAAATGCCCGGGGTTGCTCCCATTCATAGAGTGGAAGGGAATCATGACGACACTCGATGGAAGTTCGTAATACGACAAGGACTCGTCGGCATTCATCGTTCGAATCTCCGGGGACCATTCGAGACGATGCGTATCCTTCCCCCACTTGGTGTTGATTCCTCCCAGGGAAACACTGTTCGGCTCCGACGGCGCCATCTTCAGGTAGGACTGAGAAAAATCCAGCAAGGGATGGCGRTCTCTGTGCTCGTAGATCGCTTTGTTTTCCGGCGCGTCGAAGACCACATAGTTCTTCGTGGCCGCATCGAAGCAAAAATAGTTTTTGAATTCGCACGATTTCTTCTTCCACGAGAGTCTCTCTTGGTAGTTTTCGCCCACGCAGTGCACAAAGGTTTCGACGTCCTTTYGCGTTCGGTGGTAGATCGGGTGCCCGTTGAAGCTTCCGTCGGGGGCTTCCCGCCCCGCCCGCCGTTGCCGTTGCTGTTGCTGCGTCTGCGTCCGGGCCAGAAAATCTCGTTTCGACGGGATCGCGCCCGACCGGGAGAAAGCGTTCCCGGCACCTTTCCCCTCGAACAGGATCACCCCGATGTTCAGGGCCACGAGCTGCACCGCCAGGAAGAAGACCGCGAAGACCGCCGCCGGTGGCAGGGGGCACGAGGGAAGCGTCGGCGTCGGCGTCGACGCCTGGGACGCAAAAGCATTTTGGCCCCTCGACGACGGTGTTGCATTACGGCGCCGATCCTTTCGCAGCAAACCTTTGTTGCKCTGCGTCATTTGGTTGCACGGTAACTGTCACGGGTCAATGAATGGGGTCGTGCATGCATCCGCGTCGATCCCGGAAGGATGCAGTGTGTAGTATGGTGTGGTAGAAGGGTGTTTGCTGGTGTTGCAGGAAGTGTTGGCATTGACGATCAAATCAAAAAATGTCCCGCTGGTTTGGTTTGGTGTGAAACGAAACAACAAAAAACAGTAGCGAGACAGAAAATYGGCCACAGGCTTTTCCCGTACAATTCTGTACGGTAGGAAGCAAGAACAAACTGAGTTTTTTCGCCGGTTASACTTCTAGACCGAGTAAACGCAAAAGTATGAGTACGTACCTTTCGTATCATAAAAGTATATGAAGAGTACGACGAGCATGCTCGCTGCCCACTTCCCACTTCCTACCTGGTAGGGAAAATGGACAGTGTAGTTGCTCGTAAATTACTGCTGTACCGTACTTTAAGTAAACTACTAAAGTGAAATGGTATTCATTACAGTATTTTTTGTTGCACTCGAAATTACAGTACGTACTTCTAGTTGGTTTGGGAAAGGCCAGACCAGAATTTGTAATTGCTTCCAAACGGTACCTGGTACTACGTACCCACACAACCATCCCACCSTCTCGTGCGTGCTGGTGCTCGTGCTGGTGCTCGCCCTCTCCCCCCTGTTGCTAGTACGAGTGCTGCTCTMGCAGCAATTCGTCGGCAATCCGGTCGGTAGCCTTCAGCAGCTCGTGCCGGATCCCGGGATCGTACATGGAGTGCCCCGAGCCGAGCGGCACGCGGAGTTCCATCCCACCGGGGTTTTCGTTCTCGTTCTCGTTCTCGTTCTCCCCCCGCCCGTTGCGCACCGCCTCGAGCAAATCCATGGCGGTGTCGGGGGGGCATATCGGATCCAGGCCACCCTGGATTCCGATGATCCGGATCCGGGAAAAGCCGCCGGCGGCGCTTTGTCGGGCCGCGTTCCGTACCAGGTTGTTCCGCTGTCCCATCACGTATCGATCGTTGACCGAGTAGTAGCACGTGAGCATGGCCTGGGCGGGAATGTAGTCGGGTGGCACCTTAAAGCGSCCGGCGGTTTGGTGGTTCCCGGTCTCGCTGCCCAGGCCGGCCAGCAGGGGCATCGACGATTCGTCGATGGATCGCACCGGCCGGGGGTGGGTCTCGGCGAACGGCTCCGAGGCCGTGCCCTCGGCGGTGTCGTCGATGTGCTTGCGCAGCCGAGACGCCACGGCTTGCGGGGAGCTGTCGCAGTCGTCGTCGCCGGGGGCCACCGGTTCCCCGAGAGGATTCTCAAACCTCCATTCCCCGTTGTTCTTGCCGGGCGACGAGACCAATACCAGGTGCTTCTCGGCACCGCTGGATTGCTGGGTGGTGTTGCTTCCACCCTGTTTGGACGATGCGGACGAGGTTGCCGCCATTTCCCAYCCCATCCAAGACCGTGCCGCGGCCAAGCGGATGGCGTTGTTCTCGGTGTCGTTGGCAACCGTCCGGGCACCGATCAGGCAATCGTAGTAGGCGTGGAGGGCCTCYCGCCCGCTCGCCCCCGCCGCAGCACCGCCCAGCACCSTTTCGCTAAAGTTCTTCCAGGCCCCCGGCAGTGCCCGGGCCGAGCCCCCCCCCGCGCCGAAGAGCCAGTCGACCTCGGTGGGCCGCAGGGTGCAGATCCCGCGGAGCACGAGGCTTCGCATCGCGTGTGGGTGCCTCTGCGCGTAGGCCAGGCCGAGCGTGGCACCCCAGCTGCCCCCCAGGACGCAGTCCCACGGTGCCGCCCCGCCCCGGGGTTCCGRCAGGAGGGTCCGTCGCACCAGCTCGCAGTCCTCCACCAGGTGTTCCAGCGTGTTGTCCTCGACGCAGCCCCTCGGCGTGGACCTCCCGGCCCCCCGCTGATCGAGCAGGACGACGGTGTACTTCGAGGGATCGAAAAAACGGGCGTGGTTGGGAAAGCACCCCGCTCCCGGCCCGCCGTGCAGAAAGAGGGCGTTCAGGGGACCGGTTCCGTGGATTTCGTAATAGAGCGTGTGGACGACGGAAGCRCCGGYGTCTCCCCCATCTGTTTCGGTTTGTATCGTTCCGTTGCTGCTCGCGTTGGTGGGCGGAAAGAGTTGTCGATAGACAAAGTCGCTAGAATTTTCACCGGTTGCCCTCGTGTTGGTGTTTGGTGTTTCCTGGGTGGCAACCGAGGACGCCGTCGAACAAAGAGCACCGGGTGTTGACAGTTGCCGATTCGGTTGCCGGTGGCGACAARCCGGCGGTGCATTCCGTAGCATCCACGCCGAGCAGAGCACCATGGGGAATGCAACCGTCGCAAGACACGCGGTGGCGAAGAATCCCGCCGAAGMCCTCGTCGCCCTGCGGTTGCGCTGCTTGTTCGGGACGGAAACCATCGTCACCATCATCATCTTCGCAAACAGACGTTCTTCTACGGCTACGCGATACAGTATTGCTTTCTAAACTTCCGCTTCGTGTTCCTAACCTTTCGTTTCGTGTTCTATAGTTTGTCAAGCAAAATACAAAAGGAAAGAAGGGAATCGGAAAAATATCTTGCGACACGCTGAGGGTGGGAGTGATGCCCTATCGTTGGATGTCTCCGAAGTTGAATTGTTTCTGTTTCTGTCGTGTGGAGAGGGTGYTGTTTCGACTTTGAGGTGGTTTGGATGAAAAAAACGGTTCGTGAAAAATGTTGTGATGGAAAAAGCGAAAAAGTACGTACCGTATGTTTTTACTGTGTTTCGTACTAAGCGAGTACTCGTATCGCACTTACCAGCATCGTACGATGCGAGATTCAGTGCCCTCCTCCCGAGCTTTTGAGGTGGTCTATTCTGACATTAATAGCAATCATATCTATAGTATTTATGATACATATKATACGATAACGAGGGGTCATAATAGATAATAGATCATCGAAAGGTTCTCCAAGCAGCTCTAAAAGAGAAACTACGATCCCATCCTTGACTTACTACTACTACTAGCTCCCAATAACACCACTAGTAAATCTATCCAATTCTAACTTGTAAGTAGTCATAACTTTACCAAAATAGACTACGATACCAAATTTTCACTATTACATTTACACCAGTTTTTAATTGTTAGTGTGCTTTTACTAACTTATTGCTTCTAGTACTACTAGTAGTACAGGAGTACTAGTTGCTGCTCGTGGTGGTGGTTCGCTGCGTGTGGTAGCGGATCTCGATTCTCCGGCGGTGGTGCTGCTGCTTCCGCCGCGGGACGCGGCTCGGGTGGGAGACCAGCGCCGGGCCCCCGGCCGATCCAAGGGCGGGGACGACGGGAGCCGTGGCAGTGACAGCGACAGCAACAGACCCGTCCGCCTTGTCCCGGAGCAGACCTTCCGGTGCCAGCCTCGCCGCGGACGACAGGACCCTCGAGACGTCCTGTTTGAGGGCGGAGAGGCGTTCGATCGTCTCGAGCCGCAGCGCGGTTTGCTCCCGGGAGAGGGAGACGAGCGATGCCGGGCGTGCCTCGTTGGCGCTGCTGCTGCTGCTGTTGTTGTTGTTGTTGTTGTTGTTTCCCGCGGGCACCAGGCCGTCGGAATTCCGCAGACCGTCCAGCCAGGCCGTGAGGCAGACCAGGTGCCGTTCCGAGAGCCTCCGGACGATCGCTGCCAGCCTGCGGCGGGCCGCCTGCGCCTCCCGGGAAGGCACCTCCGCGGCCCCGGGAGGGAGGCCCCCCTTTCCGTCGTCGTGTTCGCCGGCGGCCCGCCGGTCAAAGTCGATCTCGAGGGCCCCCCCTTGGAACAGGGTGGTCCCCGAGGTGGTTTTCATGGCGGCCATCGTTCGCTCGACCGCGGAGAGATGGCTGGAATCATTGGCATTGGCAGCGGCATCCGGAACATCGCTCCCGATGGCATCGCCCCCGTCGTCGCCGTCTTCCCAGTCGATGTCGCTCTCGCTGTCGTCGTCGTCGTCGCTGCCATTGCCATTGCCATTGTTGTCTTTGTCGTTGCCCTTGCGATTGCTCTCGCCGCCGCCATGTTCCGCGGCCCTCGGAACAAAGCGCGGCACCAGGACCAGCAGGGCCTCCTCGGCTCGCTCCAGGAGGCCTTCGACCCTCCCGGCCTCCCTCGCTCCGTGTTTCAGGGCGGCGTCCCGGAGGGCCCGGAGGTCCGAGTCTCCCCTGCGGGAGGCCCCCATCGGCGATCCCCCGCTCGGGGGGGAGCACCGGTGGGCCAGGCCCCGGGCGGCCACCCTTAGCCGTTCGTGGGCCCTCCCGTGCCCCCTGGCCAGCAGGTCCGCCACCAGGGCGATGGCCTCGGCCTGCAGGAGCGACGGCCCGAGGAGGGCCCCCCGGCGAATCGCGCTGTCGCTGGCACCCGCGCTGGCATTCGCATTCGCGGTCGCATTCGCGGTCCCACCTGCACCGGCCACGCTGGACACCCAGTCCGCCAGGTGCGTGCCCTGGTCGAGGTGCCCCCGGCAGTCCTCGGACCTCTGCAGCAGGATGCCCGACAACAATAGGGCCGCCCGGCGGACGGCGATGCGCTTGTGGTCCTGCTGGAGGTCCCAGAGGTAGAGAAAGATGGAATAGGCGACCGCCCGTGGTTTTTCGTCGGTCTTGGTCGTGGGTTCTTTGCGGGGTGGGTGAGGTTGCTGTGATTGTTGTTGTTGTTGCGGTTCCTGCTGCTTTTGTTGTTTGGACACGTACCGGACTTCCTCCATCCACTTGTTCAAAGCGTGCAGAAAAGTCGTCTCGCGGTCGCTGGTGGCACTTCTTGCTGCTTCCGCGGTTGCTTCGGCCGCCCGCATCCGGTTCATGAGGGAATCAAAGACGCCGCTGTCTTGGTTCGGCAGGTGGTGGTGGTTCTTGTCGTTGCTGCTGCTGTCGTTGCTGTTGCTGTTGTTCTCGATGCGGCTGCTGCCTCTCCCGCCACGGGCTCTGCTTTTCTCCCAGTCGGCGATCGTAAAGGACCGGCCGTGCTTCCCGGCCTCTCCAAAGAACCTCGCCCCGGTCCGGAGCGCCTCTAGAAAGACCGGGAGGACGCCGTGGGGGACCCCGGGGATCTTGGGGAGGCCCCCTGCCGCCGCCGCCGGAGGGGCTTCCGCCGAACACGGCAACGGCAGCGAGGATGCCTCCAGGGCCCCCCCGGCCGCTCGGGGCCGGACGGTGGTCCGCCTCCGTTTCCTCGGTGGGGGGACGGCGGGGGGCATCCTCCGGTGCGGTGCGGTGCGGCGCTTTCGTGGGTTCGCGGTGGGACGGAAGGTGGGGTGTCTTTTAGCTTTGTTCCTTTTTCAATTTTTTAATTTTAAAAATGGTCCGATTCTGTCGCAGCCGGTTTCCACCGATTCGTCGTCGATGGCATGCAGCGAGTTCATTTTCGGGTGTCAAAACCCAACAAAATGTGCCCCCCGATATGAGTCGAACGAGTCGTATCAAACACGAATGGGAAGAGATCCGTTGGGCTTGAGCCCTGCCTACCGTACCGTACGGTACAACATACCGGTAGAGCTAGCAGTACTGGTGCTCGTACAACGTACCTTACCGCAACGGATGTCAACAGTACGTTCATACAGTACGTACTGTGCCGTGCCTTAGTTTCACGAGTACAAGCAGATTTCGATTGGTTTTGACATTTGATTGTTCCGAGTTCTTGTTGTGCCGAAAAGATCGATGGTGTCCTTCGAACAAGAACAACGAATGACGAAGGAGGAAGAACTACAACTACAACAACAACAACAACAACTACGAGTACCAATACAAGACCAAACACGAGTGGTTGCACTGCGGTATTGACCCAATTTTCTGCTTTTTCTTGGCTTGCCGGGGCAGAGTTTGGTTGTTTCCATTTCCATCCATTTGTCCATCCATCCATACCTCCATCCATGAGAGTCGCTCTGCACCTGCTGGTTCTCCTAGCGGCCTCCCGGGCACCAGCAACCGCGAGGGAGATACTATACGAGGGAGACGAAGACAGGTCGCACATCGTGAGCCCCCTTCCTCACACCTACCTCGACGAGTCGCTGCTCCCGAAGCGCTTCGACTGGGGCCGGGTGGCCGATGCTTCCGATGGCGATGCCGACCGCGACGGCGATGCTCCTGCCGATGCCCCCCTCGCCGATCCACCCCGGTTCCCCCGGACCCGGTCGATGCTGACCCGGGTCCTCAACCAGCACGTCCCCCAGTACTGCGGGTCCTGCTGGGCCCACAGCAGCCTCTCGGCCCTGGCCGACCGCATCAAGATCGACCGGGGCGGGGCCGGCACCGAGATCAACCTCTCGGTCCAGTTCCTGCTGAGCTGCGGGGCCTCCGCCGGGAGCTGCCACGGGGGGTCGGCCATCCGGGCCTACGCGTTCCTGGCCGGGGAGAAACGCGGGACCGCACACCCGGTCCCCTACGACACCTGCTCGCCCTACCTGGCCTGCTCGAGCGACTCCGAGCACGGGTTCTGCCCCCACGCCGACACCTCCTGCGGGGCTTCCGCGAGGTGCAAGACCTGCGCGAACCCCTCCCACGAGCCCGGCGGCGGTGCCTGCGATCCGATCGGGTCCTATCCGAACGCCACGGTGCGTTGCCTTGCTGCGTCGTTCGCTGCGGTGGTGTTGTCTTGGAATTGCATTGCGCCTTGGTTCCGATGGCGTTGCGCTTTGCTGCTCTCTCTCTCAGTGGATCTCTCGTCTCACCAACCTTCGCTCGCTGCGCTCGCCCTTTTTCAGGTCGCCGAGTACGGAAGCTACTCCCTGGACGACGGCATTGTTCCGATCATGGCGGAAATCCTCATGAGGGGGCCGGTCAAGGCCTCCGTCAACGCCGGCCCGCTGCTGGCCTACGAGGGGGGGATCCTGGTGGATTCCCCGGCCAACCGAAACACCACCCACAACCACGGCGTCAGCATCGTGGGCTGGGGGTACGACGACTTTGCCGAGCTCCCCTACTGGATCGTCCGTAACAGCGTGCGTGTTGTCGTCTTTTGTTGCGCATCGCTGCGTTGCCTTGTGTTTGCGTTTGCGGGGTTCCTTGGATGTTTCTAGAAAATCCATCGTGCCGACTCACTTGCTCTCTTTCTCTCTCTCTTTGTCCCATCTTGGTTTGAATGTGTTCCTTGGATGTTTAACACACAGTGGTACGTTGTACATGCACAATCTTTAGCATTTCCTTTCCTTTTTCGAAAGGAAAGCCAGTGACAAGATTCTCAACACCCATTTCTTTTTGTTTCTCTCCTTTCGTTTGCTTTCGATTGATTGCGTTCCTTCGTGTGGGTTTTGCAATCGTGTGGAAATCTGCTGCTGCTTCTTCCTACCCAAAACACAGGGGCGAGTACTGGGGCGAGCTCGGCTTCTTTCGCGTCGAGCTCGGGAAGAACCTCCTGGGCATCGAGGCCCACGTGTGCTGGGCGACCCCCGGATCCTACACCGAAACGAACCTTCCGTGCCTCAAGGACGGGAGCAACTGCCGGCCCGGGGGCGGGCTTCCGCAGGGGCAGAGGCAAGCACGGGGGTGGGTTTCCCGCCGGTACGAGGATCCGTCCAACCGCCCGGCGTATTACGTCCGGCGGAGGCTCTTCCAAGCGGGGGTGGGGGGGACGGTAGGCCCCGCCGAGCACGCGAGCGACACAGCGCGGTGACGAGGCAAAGGAAACACGGAACGGGCAATGTCTGTCCGTACGGTTCTTTGGAAATCTAGCTCACGAGAAAAAAAAATACAGCAATGAAAAAAGGGTCTAGTCCACCACAAACTATAGTGCTTGCGTGCGTGCGTGTGTCCGCATATACTTGGCTGCCCCGTTCCTGTCGCAATCCTCGGTTTCGGACACTGCCGTATGGTACGAGTCCGCAGCGATCGCAACGCCTAGCTCTGTCTGCCTCGTTCTTTCTCTGTTCTCAAAAGAAATCCGATTCGTCCAGCGTGTAACCAAAGTAGGCAAACATCTTCTGGAGGGCCTCCCTGGAGAGGCTCGGGTTGTTTTGGGTCGCGTACAGGACCCTCGAGACTTCCTTCGAGTGGTACTTGTTCGGCTCCCACTTCCACAGCTGCTGCAGGAATGAAACGTGCCGCTTCGCCTCGTAGACCAGCCCCCGGCCGAGGGTCATCTCCAGGATCTTCAGGTGCGTCGTGTAGGGCGGCAGCACCGAGTACTGGTTGAAGCAGTCCTGGCAGAGGGAAATCGCGGCTCCCACGTCGCCCAGGTTCAGCAGGCCGTCGATGCTGGCCCCGATGGTTTCCTTGGTCGGACTCAGGCCCTCCGACAGCAGCTTGCGGGAGTATTCCTTCATGGTCGGGACGTCCCCCACCCTGGACAGGCCGATCAGCAGCGTGTTGTAGGCCACAATGTCGGGCTTGATCTTGTTCGCCGGCATCACCTCGTCGAGGATGTGCATGGCCCTCCACAGGCTTCCCCGGTTGACGCAGACCCTCATCAGTATGGAATAGCTGACCAGGTCCAGCTCCACCGGATCGTGGCCGCAGGCTCCCTGTTTCAGCGAGTCCGCAAAGGATATCGCCGACGTCAGGACCGGGCTCCAGTCCGGGTCGGACTCCCGCTCTAGTTTCAGCTGCCGGAGGTTCGACCCCGGTTTTTTCACCAGCTTCCCGCGGACCTGGGAGGGGATTTTGTGGTACGGCGGCGGGGGTCGCATCTTGAGCCGGACCTCCACCGGGCGGTCCCGGAACGTGGCCATCCCGTCGACGTGGTTCGCGGTGGGGTTGTCGGCGCTCTCGCTCTCGCCATCGGTGTTGCTTTCGCCGTCGATTGGCTTTCTCACGACCCGGTAGAAGAAGTGTGTCGTCTTCCCGGTCCTCCCGGTCCTCGCAAACGCGTTGAGCATGCGGTTCGCCATTTTCGTGGTCAGGGCCACGTCCCGCTGGTTCATGTTGATCAGGATCGCGTCCAGCCACCTCGTGGGGTCGTCGATTTTCGGCTGCTTCTGCTCGGGCAGAAAGATGTTTCGGTTTTTCCTCAGGTACAGGCCGGCGGCGTCGATGGCCGTGATCGTGTGCACGAATTCCTGCTCCCTCGGTGGATAGTCCCGGGCCTTTCGGAGCGAGAGCAGCTGTATCGCCCTCCCGATGTTTCCCGCCTTCCCGTTGGCCTCCAGCATGCTCAGGGACAGGTCGTCCGTCATTTTTGTCGCGCCCATGCTCCCGATGTACCGTTCCCATTCTCTGATCTTGCGAGACAAGACGTGGGTCGGGAGCCTGCACCGCAGCACGGCGACAAAGGCCTGCTGCGTCGTTTCGGGAGCAAAGAAGAGCTCCTTCATCTCCTTCGAGACGGGGGAAGAACCACTAGAACCATCAAGGTCTTCGTTGTAAAAATATTTGAGATATTGTTCGTATTGATCGACCGTTTCCCTCACGAATTCCGAGTTCCATTTTTTCTTTGACGCATTGTTTGGCCCGTTGGGACCCCCTCCCTTTCCTTGATTGAATCTGCATGCCCGATCGAGGTTTTTGATCACCGAGGGAAGCCCGGCCGCAATGTTTTGCCGAAGGTCCTGGTCGTCGTCGACGTCTCCCGCTGTTGTTGCTGCTGTTGCTGTTCTTGTTGATTCGAAACCGCCGGCAAGGTGCTCGTGTTCGCTTGCTATCGTCCGGGGAGTCGCCGCAGACGAGAAGGAGGCATTCGAGGAATAACATGCCCCCGGCGTTCGCTGCGCGGCCGAAAAAAGTGCCCGAGAGCTCGGCGGCCGTCGTCCCGCAGAGGGCGTCGTAGCAGTGCCTCTTACATGGGAGTTTGGAAATGTCAACGATTCGTTTCGTGGCCTGCAAAAATGCCTCGAGGTCGTCCGCGTCGTCAGTTGTATGCAACGTCGCCTTCCGATAGCAAACGAGGACATTCTTCGTGCAGGTGTGGTTTGGCTAGGTGTCTCAAAGGAAAGAGCCCCCTGGTAGCTGCGAACGGATACAGAAAAAGCAAAACCAATACTGCTTGTACTTGATGATACCTCAGCTTCGTCTTCTTCTGATCGGTATTTTTGAACTGAACAACAACTTGCATCGTACGGTAAGAAGAAAATTGTGGCCTCAAATTCAGAAGGGTACAAAATTAGCTCTTTTTTCCGATTTACGACACGACAATTGCACGCGCTCGTTACTATTTTCCCGAAAACTTCAACTCTCATGTATTTTGAACACGCTTCACTGCGACCGAATGCGGAGGTAGTGACTCCTCCGAAGATGTAAGTGCTTTCTTTGTGGAATGTTGTCTGATGAGCATATGAGGCAGTTCTGTTGCTGTTGTTGCTCATAACCTGCAAAATGTACGTGTACTCTTTAGTGCCGTATAATTACGTGTTTACAATAAAGAGTGAGCTTATTCACTATCTACTCGTGATTTAGGCTCACATTCACAACATAAAAATCTCAACACAGCTTCCTATTATTAGTATTTATTTCTGAATAATAGTAATACAGTACCACTTATCATTCGATGATTTTTGCAGGTCTATGGTTAGCACTGTTGATTTGACCTTCTTGTTCTTTGCCCTGTCCTAAGATTTTGACCTCTATAATTCGGTTCTGTGTTCGTGTTTGAGAACACTAGGCCTCGGATGAAAAATGCGCGTAAGAAAAATGGAAGTCCTGGACTTGATGTACGGCAGGTACTTCTCTCTGTTGCCCGTGAGACGAAGCATCTGCGATGGAACAGAGTGCTGTAGTTCGAATATTCTTTAGCCGACGATACTGCTATTCGTAACTATCTGCCCGAATTTCCCGCACCCCCAAACAAACTCTGAAAGTATTCTTCCGTGTCCAGGTTGGAAGAATTCGGACGAGACAGCGGAAAGGTAAAATTGACCAGTTTTGGGATCTCTTTGTATCGGATCTTCCTTCCCTTGCTGGCTTTTCGGTCTACGTCCTTCTTCTTGCTGTTCCGGTTGCTGTACTTTGCGGATCGCAAAGCCTCCGCGGAATTCTCCCCCGCTCTGGTGCCGTTGTTGCTGGTGGAATTGGCGACAAAGTCCTTGAGGAGCTGCTGGTACACCTTCGAATCGTCGAAGAGCACCACCGCTCCCGCTTGCGCGGAGGAAGTATTCTCCTCCCCCCTGCGGATTTCCTCGTACTCCATGGTGGCTTCCACCTGCTGCCAGAAGGAGGAATCCATTATTCGGAACTGAGACTTGGCCGTCATTCCCGAGTGAAGCCTCAGGTTCTTGTGCTTTCGATTCAGGATCTGTTTCCATTCCTCTCTGTGTTTCTCGTAGTCCTCCTGGAGAGCATCGTGGAGATCGGCCCTGGCCGATGCCGACGGTCCCAGAAGGGCTTTGCAGTTGTCGGCATCCGTGGCCGACCCCGACAGCCGGTTTCGCGCGAGCAAGAGCTGCTCTAGGAGCGCGTTGCAGGATTTGCGGAACGACGAGCCGGACGATGACGACGACGCCGTGCCGTCGTTCGCTTTGTTGATGGCCCGCTGGAGAAGGATGCGGGATTCCAGCAAGTGGTTGTATATTTTCGACTGGCTCTGGACTTCTTCGGCCCGCTTCCGTTCCTTGTTTGTCTCTTTTCGTCGCTTCCGATCCGCCTTGCGGTCCTGGGTGTCCAGCTCCTCGATGGCATCGAAAATCGACAAATCCCTCTTGCGTCCCATCCTGTTCTGTATCGAATTTGTTGCTTTTTTTCTTGTTTCGTCTGGCCAGTGGTCGTTCTAAAACTGTCGCGAAAACCTGTTAATTGCAGCTTTTGTTGAAACGAGATTCACTTTCCGGTGTATCAATCTTATTCTTGTTGTGGGTGGGGTTGGAGGTGGGTGGGAACTGTCTTGTCTTTCTCGAAAGAACAACGATTTGATGACAGGCGCCATCGAGAGCGAAATCCTGCCTGCGATTGGAAGTTTTTCCTTCCGGTTGCGAACAGTTTGCGTCGTCCGTCGTTTGGTTGGAACACGGTATCGTCCCTCCGTCGCTCGTTTTGTAGGAGATGACGGACGGACGTTTAAAAAAGAGATCTAGATTTCCGATCGGAAAAAAAAGAAAATAGGTTTATTTCTGTACTGCGATACTGTACAATGCCGTTGGAACGACGTGAACTACGCTACAGTACGTACCGTACCGTACTGTAATCCTTACGAACAATCATACCTTCGTGAACTTTCCAATTTCCATCCATCCTTGTCATTTGAATCGAATAGGCCTGGACCATCGACCATCGGTACGGGCAGGTCCGACGCACACCGGCACCAATAGAATGAAAATTGCTCCCGTCATGAAGACGATATCGCTGAGCCAGTTAACGTCGAGTTGCATGGATGCCGGTTGGCAGGGCTGCCAGGTGATCCGGTCCTTTCACGAAGCCCACAGCGATTCCAAGGGCGGCAAGCTGAAAATAGGAGGGGACGCCCGGAGCGTGGTCACCCAGTGCGACATCGACGCCCAGGCAAAAATCATCGCGGCGCTCCGTAGCACGTGGGGGGAGGAGCTCTTGATCATCGGAGAAGAGGACGAGACCGAAGCCGGGGCTCTTTCCTCCGGGGCCGATGCCCCGCCCCCTCTCCGGACCGACATTTTGTTCGACGACCGGGAGGTCCAGAAGACCATGGCCCCCGGTCTGGACGAGGAAATCCCGTTGGAGGAGCTGGCCCTCTTTGTGGACCCGGTCGACGGGACCCGCGAATTCGTGGAGGGGAGGCTGGGCAACGTGGCGTGCCTCATCGGCATCGCCAGGAACTCGCGCCCGGTGGCGGGGATCATCGGCGTGCCGTTTCCGGGTGGTGGGGATCTGTCGTGCGGGGCCGAGATCCACTACGCGATTGCGGACCAAAAGGATTTTGCCGGTGTCTGGTCCCAGAAAGAAACGCCCCCGTCCGGTGCGGGTGAGAGTGAGGGTGCGAGTGCGAGTGCGAGTACGAATTCGGATGCTGCGGAACAAGCCTCGAACGACGAATCCAGCGACCGCGACGGCCACGCAGCCGGCACGACCGTTTTGTCGGGGGATTCCGGCAATCCGGTTCTCCAAATAGCGACCACAACCGCCGTGTCGTTGGCACCGGGGGGCGATGCCCGTCGCGTGATTGTGGGTGGGACCGCGGCGAAACTCCGCATGGTGGCAACCTCCACTAGCCCTACTGTGGCTGTCTTGCACTTCGACACCCAGCTGTGGGACACGTGCGCACCCGAGGCGCTCCTGAAGTGCAGGGGCGGAAAAATCACGGACATGTTTGGTGCCTCCCTGGTCCACTGCCCGAAGCGAACGATGGGGAACGTCTTTGGCGTCGTTGCGTCTTCCAAGGGAGCATCGGTGCTTCACGACGAGCTGTGCCGGAGCATGCGGGCGGACCGGGATTCGGTAATGGCGATCTTCCAACAATGGATCGGAGAGGGCATGCCACCACCCGGGGTTTCGCAGTCGATCGACATTGCGAGAGATCTCGATGGGATGCCCTACGGGCTCGACCATCTCCAAGAGCTGCTTAGGGACGAAAATCCAACGGACTCGAAGCTCGTTGGATATTCCGTGCCCGAAGAGGATGCCTGGAGGGGACTCATGTCGAACGGCGTGCGCTTCCAGCTCCAGTGGGAGGAAGGTGCAAACCCTTCCGGAAATTCACCACCATCCGACATGTTTTACAAGCGGATTGTGATGGCAAATCTTGATCACGCCCGAGATAAACTCAAGACCGCTCCGCACAAGGTACGTTGAACTATCCACTGGTGACACCGTCGTCCATTGCTGTATGTTTTTCGGTGAATGCAATTGATAGCAGATTCTCACAGTTTCGTGTTCCGACCATTGTGTCCGGGTATTCTTCGTTGTTCAAGCTCGTACGAGATGTGAAGAGCTATCAAGTCGAGACATCTTTTCTGACTAGTTATGCGTGCAAATACTTAGTAAACGATACAGGAATGAAGATCAACAAAGTTCTCTCGTCTGATCTGAGGCCTGTTGCTGGAGACAACCCCAAAGAGCTATTGGACAGCTCCTTTTCGATATTCTTGGAGTACTTTCAAAATTCTGATGGATGGGAACAGCACTGGCTGTTGCCGAGAGAGGAAACCAAGGCATCTCTGGAAGAGTTGGCCAAAATGCATGCTTATTTTTGGCAGGGTTCCGACTTTTGGAAAAAGGACGGAGGAAAGGCGGGGAGTGATCTTGAAAACATGGTCTGGCCGAACGGCGGCTACATGCAACCAAAACTCCAGGGCTATGAGCAACTCAAGAAAGTTCGGAGTGGCTGGGAAGCTCGCTACTCTTCCTTTCGTGACGACTTGGAAAAAGTTGCTGAATTGAAGGGTGTCGATTGTGTGCCATTGGGAGAGAGACTGGAGGAAGTGGCTCCTATCGTTGGCGGCAAAGCCCATCCCTTTGCCGACAAGGATGCTGCTACCAATGCCGACTTTGCGAGGTATCGCACACTGATCCATGGCGACCCGAAACACGCCAACTTTTTCTTCCGTAAAAAGCAAGAATCCGGGATCGAGGTTGGATTGATCGATTTCCAATGGTCCGGATTCGGTCTCGCCGCTACAGGTAAGAAAAAACAAGAACCTTCTGGTCAATAAGTTGTCGTTATCGTTCTTTAAGCCAAAAAACAGGCATCTCATCTGAATCTTTTTATCATTTCAAAGACGTCGCCCACCATATAACGAGTGCGGTTTCCAGCTCTGCTCTTTGTTTCAGTGGCAAGGAGGAAGGTGAATTGTTAGACCATTACTACTCGTGTCTCACAAGAGAGCTGGTAAAGTATGGCGTAGGAAAGGACGCAGAAGAGATTGAAACGTCGATTTTCCCGCGAGAAACACTTCAACAGCAATACGAAGTTGCGTTTTTGGACATCTGCCGCATCGTATTTGCGTACGCATGGAGAAGATGGAAAGCCGAAGACGAACCTTCGGAAGAATCGTTCAACAGGAACGCCTACAACAAATCGCTCGACAGTGTGCTTTGGCTCATTACTAGATGCCATGTCTACTTGTCGAAATACCAGTCATAGAAAGAAAACAACTTTCTTTCACATATTCATATAATGTTTACTCAACACAAGATTGCTTCCTTATCCGTATTTTTTGTTTCTGGCGTAAAATGAAGTTCGCTTTTTGCGCCGTATCTATTTTAACATTACACTCAAATACTATCTTCCCGTTGATTCCCTGCCCGATTCAGGGCACATTTGTTTGTATGATTTTGCTTTAGGTGCTACGAATGGTCTTCATCGAGGTGGTCCTTCCGTATCTTGAGGGCTCTTTTGTGTATTGAGATTGCTTCCTCAAACTTGCCCTGGTGATTGAGTATCGTGCCCAGAAGCCTGTACGCCTCCGCGGTCTGAAGGTCTTGGCCGGCGAGTGTTTCTTCTTTGACGGAAAGAACCATGCGCACCTCTTCTTCCGCGTCGTCGAACTCTTTTTCTTGAATCAAACAGCGACCGAGCTTCAATCGAGCGTCGGTGGTGGCGGCGTGGTGCTCGCCACGGAGGCACAGGCGCGCCAGCAATGCTTGCTTGTACGCCATCGTGGCTCCGGCGTAGTCTTCCTTTTTCTCGAGAACACCAGCGATTGCGAAGCACGATGCCGCAGTCGCCGGGTGCTGTCTTCCCAGCATCGCGTTCCGAATCGTGAGAGCCTTTGTGTGGTAGTCCAGTGCCAGCTTGTGGTCCATCTGGTTCTCGTAGAGTTTCCCAAGGTGTTCGTACGCAGTAGCAACATGGGGGTGATCCGGGCCCAGCGTCTGCGTTACAATTCCCAACGCTTTGGAGTGATTGGTCAACGCACTCTTGTGGTTCCCCTCTAGGATATGCACGTGGCCCAATAAATTGAACGCCTCGGCGGTCTTGGGGTGGTTTTTACCGCAGACGCGATTCCGTATCGCCAGGCACTCCTTGTATTGATTCAGTGCATCGTCGAGATCGTTGTTCTTGAGCATGACCGAACCCAAGTCCGCAAAACAGTTGGACGTCGACAAGTGTTTTTTCCCATATCCGTCCATCGTAATTTGCAAAGCAAGCTCCAATAGCTTCAATCCTTCTTGCTTCTGTCCCTTTCGAAATAATACTTTGCCAATATTTCCATGAGATATGGCACAGTCGGGGTGTTGATTTCCCAAAACCGTCTCTCGAATGTGCAATGCCTTCCGATGGCTTGTCTCCGCTTCGTCGTATTTGTTTTCCTTCAATTTTAGATTCGCTATCTCCGTAAGGGTRTCGGCAATTTCTCTGTGCTTCTTTTTTCCGTAAACCTCTTCCTGTATCAAAAGGACTTCGTTGTAGCATTCCATTGCTCTGTCGTGTTCTCCTTGGAGATCAAAGATTTCTCCCATGGTAGAATACGATCGGGTCGTTTCGATGCTGTTCTCGCCAAGGATGGACTCTTGTATTGCCAGCGCGGTTCGGCACTCGTCCATTCCCTTCTGGTATTCTCCCTGGCCGCACTGGGCCTTTGCCACCAGGATGTGAGATTCCGCCACGAGAATGTGGTCCTCTCCGAGGCATTCCTCTCGGAGTTCGAGGGCTCTRAGCTGCTCGTCGAGCGCTCCRTTGGCGTCTCCCTTCAGGCTTCGAGCGTCTCCCATCGCAACGCGSGTCGCCGCAATGTCTAGGTGTTTCGACCCAAGGTTGCGAGTAAAAACGGGCAGGGCCTCCTTTAGGTGCACCATGGCGCGGTCGGCTTCCCCTAGTTTCAGCAAGATTTGGCCCATATAGAGGTGGGTCGTCCCRACTACCAGGTGCTCCGTTCCGTATATGGATTCTTCCAGGTCCAGGACTCGCTTGAAGAGCGACAGCGACTTGCGGGTCTCCTCGAGTTGTTCAAAGAAGATTCTGGCAAACAACTTGAGCTGACTCGGGTTGCTTTCRTCGAGGAGAAAGTCCATGAGATTTTCGTCGACCTCTCCAACCTGTAGAAGCATCTCGAGGTCTCGTACTACTTCYGCGGTTTCTCGGGAATCTTTCGCAAAGTACGGACGCAGATGCATGTGGGAATTGATCCCGTTRTAGAATCGTTTGAAGTCCTTGTGGTGCACCTGGATCTCACAAATGAACGCCGTTTCGCCCTTGTACGGAATCGATACGTGGTACAAAATGTCCCGGTATCCATCGAACCGGGGAGTCGCAAAGTGGTTGCTGCAGTYGACGATGTGGGCGTGTTCTCTGAGATGYTTGTTRACGTCGTTCATTTGTTTGGCCGACCGGCAGTAGATCGATGCCCGCAGAATGTCGTACAGCCAGGCCTCTGCCGGGCCCGGGTCTCGGTGCGAATACTCGTCCCGGGCCTTTTTCGAGGCCCKGGACCACTGCTTGACGGAGGCAATCTCTAYGTCCGAGGCCGTCAGGCCCGAGATGCTTTTTCGAATCGAATGCATCAGGTTCTGAAACTCGGGCTTGGCCTCGTTCGCGGCAGCATAGAGATCCGACAGGTGCCGGATGGGTTTCCCGTGGACATCTTGCTGCCGATATCCGGATTTGTAGGTCCCATTCTTTTCTTTGATTCCGCCCCTCGATTGGGGTTTCATTCGGATCGCGGCAATCTTTGCGTCCAACAAGATTCGTCGAACACCGTCAGAGAACRAGACATGGATGGAAGAAAGGGAGAGAAAAAAAAGACAAACGTGTTGAGGCTCGGTTACAAAACCAAAGCGATGGCTGCTCGTGCCAATGCTCCTCCGGGATCGACAAGCAACAAATGGATTCTATCTGGTGTTTTCCCCCTCACCTTTCCGTGCGAATCAACGGTCCGGGCGCGTTCCGCGGCGGTCCGCTGAAACGAGACGAAACTCCTMAGCCGGTCCATGAACCGCTGCTGTGTCATTGYGTTGGTTTCCTCGATCCTCCCTCCCCGGGACGACGGTTCGGAGCGATCCACGGTSCCCTCGTCCATCCTTTCACCGGCGGAGGCACTTTCCTGCGTCGAGAAATCGGTGGTGTCCTCCGTTTCGGACCCCGAGAGTTTGTCGTTGTATGCCACGACGCGGCGCTCGATCGTTTCGACCGAGTCCAGCAGCTGCTCCAGGACCCCTTTCTGCATGTCCAGGATCAGRWTGGCGAGGCTCCGGAGCTCGTCGGTCAGCTSGCCGTACTCGYGTTCCTGCGTCATTTTCAGGAGCCCGATCATCTTTTCTTCCACCGTCCTTCCGGCGTCGACCTTGTTCGGGTGCGTAAAGGGCCGGGCGATGGCCTGGGCCTTCTTGCACCGAACCACGGTCTTTTGGAGGATTTCGTCCGGGTCGCTCGACGACAGGGACACCTCCGACATGGTCTCTCTCGATCTCGATGCTCGGATCGGTCGGCAGTCGCAGCGGAACAGAACAGATCGGAACGGGCGGTGGTGGTGGTGGTGCTAGCGCAGTATGGTGTGGTGTGGTGTCGTGTCGTGTCGTGTCGTGTCGTGTCGTGTCGTGTCGTTTAGTGCGGGGGAGATCTCGCAATGCGGTTGGTACAGTTGCGGTCGGTTTGTTGTATCGTATGGCCTGTACTCAATGGGCGGAGACGCTTGCCACCACTCGGCAATGGTCCCCGGTTTCGTGTGTTGTGTTGTTCCATTGGGAACGAATATTGCCTTCCGGTGCCTACGTACGGTACGGTACTTTTACGTACTTTTGCGSACGCTCGGGATGTATTTGGCACGTCCTTTTCAATTTAAAAAATTTGGGTACGAGCCATAAATTGCACGACCTAGTTTTCGGTTTGGCATTTTGCGCGACGCCCGACAAACTTTCCCGCATAAATGATGGCCCGAAAGGGTCTTCCATCCGACCCGACGCCGCACTCGTTCGTGYTTTCKGTCTAYTATTGCCCTTTTGAACGTGGAATCACTTATGCCGTCTCGAAACCGTCACGAAAGGGTATACTTCTACTAGCTAAGGAAATTCGACCAAGAAGGTTTGTAACGGAATGTGGCACGGTACAATAACGTTTGTAGTATGATTTCTACTCGTGCATTTTCAAAAAGCACTAAACAACAAACACATAATAGAGTGCCATTCTGTGCCTTCACTCGTTCTCTGCTCGTGCTCGTAGCAAAACCAATATCTACTAGAAGTACTTGTTCTTTTAAATACGAAACAACGGCACCGTGCGATACCGTAAACTCCGAGAACCATGCCGGGAACGGTAGATGGATAGACTCTGTACGGCCCGGCACTCGTGCCGTCGATTGGCCGGGCAGCACCATCATTGTTCTGGCTGCTCGTTTTCGTTTGTCCGRATGCTGATCAGAGAGGCCCGGATGTCCGGGTGTCCCTTCGGCAGGATCTTGCTCCGGATCGTGTAGGCCGTCTCGTGTTCCTTGAGCGCTGCCGCGTAGTCCCCCTTCTGGTTCAGCACGTACCCGATCCAGTAGTGGGACTCGGCCGATTCGGGGCTCTCCTTGCCGAGGAGGGTGTCGCGCAGCACGAGCGCCTGCCGGTGGCGGGCCTCGGCCTCGTCGTAGTCCTGGGCGTCCGTGAGGAGCTGTCCGATCAGCGTGTGGGACTCGGCGGTGGCCTTGTGGCCCTTGCCAAAGACCTCCTCCCGGATGGCCAGCCCAAAGGAGTACTCTTCCATGGCTGCCTGGAAGTCGCCCTGCTCGTGCAGGACGTTTCCTAGGTAGCAGTGGGCCGTGGCAACGTCCGCGTGGTTCTCCCCGAGAAGGGACTCGAGAATCGAGAGCGACTCCCGGTACGCCGCGAGGGCTCCCTGGAAGTCTCCGAGCTTGCAGAGCGACCGACCTATGTTTTGGTACGATCCGGCCACGTCYAGGTGGTCCTCTCCGAGGCACTTTTCTCGAATCACGAGGGCCTTCTTGTATTGCTGCAGGGCTCCGCGGTGCTCAAGCAGCTCGCCGCTRTCGTCCCCGCGCTCCACGATCGTATCGCCAAGGAGACTGCGCGTGATGGCAACCTCGGCATTGTACTGGCCAAAGACTTCTTGTTGGTGCTCGAGGCAACTCTGCAGGCTTCTCAGTGCCTGGTCGTAGTCGCCCAGCTTGGCTTGTACGAGGCCAATGTCTTGGTACAGGGCAGCAGACTTGACGGTTGGACCGGATTCCGATGCCGAGTGTATCTTCAAGGCACGCGAATAAAGGTGCTGGGCGAATTCGTAGTTCTCGAGCTTGAGATCAAACAATTTTCCGTATACGTAGAGCTGGTTCGCGTCTACGCTATTGAATATCTTGTCGATCAGCTTCTCGTTGATCTTTCCGGCCTTTTGAAAGCGATGAATGTCCCTCAGTGTCTGGACATCCGAACGGTCCGGCACGGCGAAAATGGGACGGAAATATTTGTAGTGGTTCATGAGCCCAAACATCTTTTCGAGATTGGCGACCTCCTTGTGGTGGACCTGGATCTCGGCGACAAACGTGACCTGCTTTGTGGTCGTGGTCGTCCAAGTCAGCAACACGTGGTAGAGAATGTCGCGGTAACCGCTAAAGGCGGGTATCTGGAAGCGATTCTTGACCTGCACGATGTGCGCCTTCTTGGTGAGGAACTTGTTGACGCTTTCCACCTGCTTCATCGTCTTGCACGTCACGGTGGACCGGAGCACGTCGTACATCCAGCTCTCGGGAGGACCGGGGGTTCTTGTCAGGTATTCCTCCCTGGCTTTGTTGTTGGCGGCGTCGCGTGGCTTGAGATCCACGATCCTGGCATCGATGTAATCCAGCCCCTTGACCTTGTCCACCATCGCATCCAGCAGGTCCCGGAGTTTCTGCTTGATCCCGTAGGCCGTCTCGTATACCTCGCCCAGGTTCTTCGCCGGCTCCCCGTTCATGTTCTGTTGCTGGTACATGGTCTTGTACGTATTCGAGTCGGGTTCTTTGATTCCCCCGGAGTGGTTGGTTACCTCGATGGCCTTCAACCGGTCGTTGGCGTCGATGCGCTGCATGCGCTCCTCGACCTTGCGCTGGGCGTTCATGAAATGGTTCACCCGCTCGTAAAACTTGTCCTCTTTGATCTGTGCCAGCGCCGTGTCGTCGCCAATTTCCTCGTGGTCGATATCGTCCTCCACCACGTAACTGATACGTCCCTTCCCCCGCGGAGCTCCCGCGCTTGCATTGGGATCCTCGTCGTCGCTCGGAAGGGTGCTGTCGTCGTCGCTCAACTCGACGTCGGAAATTTCGACACTGTCGTCGCTGTCGCTCATGCTTGAACTCGAATGGAAATAAAGATGCAAATGTTACAGTTACAGCCCTTGATTTTACGGTATTGCRCGGTGKCGTTGACGATGTTGCGGCAATCAAGCTAAAATTTGCAATTGCTTGTGCCGTTGTCGTGTGCCGTGTTGTCTTTGCTGTTGTTTTGAACCTTTGTTTCTTGGTTTGAAGCCAAGATCGAAGTTGTCTTTTACTTTACGAATTACAGTACCGGCCTAAACAGTCATCATGTCAACTTCTCAACTTACAGGAAGTTTCCATCGTACTGTAGTACTGAACATTCTTGCGTAGAGGTAGGTGTTCCGTTCGTTTGMTCCCGCAAGTTATTCTACTATTACTATTACTACTATTGTTGGTACCCTACCGTACGACAGCTAACGGTCGAGAAGAGTCATTAGTCCTTTGGTCATTAATTCTTTCAACACGACCGAACATCATTTTTTGGCCACAAWTCTGTCCTCGGCTGGMGGTTGTCTACCGTACGTACGAGCTACAGTAGAAAAGAAGCATCTCATTTTTCAGTTTGAGGCTTGGTCACGAGCAGATAGGGAATAACGCATCAAAACAMMAGAAACAAAAACGCTCGAACTCGTACTTCATACGTACCGTACGTACGTACTATGGCAGAAGTACGTCTTATGTCTTACAGTACTTGTACWACCATGTCTTATCGTACCGTATTACTTTATGTTCTGCTTGCTTGTTTTTGAACTGAATCCGTWMRTGTACTTGAACTGCTACGTCCGAATAGTATTGAAACACAGTGCATCGTAGTACATCAGTTACCTTTGATTCAACGGCACCTGAGAAGATCGGTAAAGGAAGTCAAGAAATGGCCATTAACGAACGACGACAGGGATATGCCTCCTAATAGGATCTAGGTTAGACAGACAGAAAAGTATCCACTTTGGTATATTCTCTACTATTCCGTTTTCTTCGTGTAGCTACGGTAGAACTAGATTGTGTAAAGCTTAAAATGTGTGTTTAATTGGGAGCAACATCTAGTCGACGGCTCACCAACCCGATTCTAGTATATAGTAAGGTAACAAAATTAGCTGTTTAGAAGACACCCTGGCCATCTCCGAAAGGAGAGATGTGTCCGGCAGAGTACTGTTCGTACATGGTCTGTCCGGTGAGCTGTTCGGCAACCATGTTTCCGATGATACCCATCATGGCGGCACGTCCGTTGTTCAACTCAACATTGAGCTTGCGGGCCTTCTCTTCGGGGTCCTTGATGTCGTCTCCGAAGTATCCAACTCCGTAGTCTCCGTCGTACTTGGAGGCAGGCATCCATGCGAGCTCAACAAGGGCGAAGAAGGCAAAGATCTGGGCAAGTCCGGCGGAAGGGATGGCGGCGATTCCGCCCATACCGGTAGGGACATCGGCGAACTTCAAGTCGTTCGAGGGGGAAAGGTATCCATCRAAGACAATGTGGTTGTTGTGGACAATGGTTCCGACAACGGCAGCCATGGCAATACGTCCGTGCTTGCGCTCGACGGCACGACGACGTTCGAAGGACTCGGGCTGKGTCTCGAGCCATCCAAGAGGATCGTAGACTCCAAGAGGCTCGGTGACTCCGAGTTCTGTGCGTTTGCATTGACAATTCGACGGTCGGGAAAATAGATGAGTAATTCTGCTGGCTTGCGTTTGTTGAATGACGCCGTTGTCGTACGGGGCGGTGCGATGTTTTCGGTCGTGGAAAGAAGAACCAGCGATCGCATCCTCGCCATCGCATACAAAAAAATATCTAGAGACACGTACCGAGTTCACTGACACTCAAAGAAGTGGAGGTCTTGGCCTGTTGGGCAGGGGCGAAGGCGGCCGCGGTGGCGATAAGGGAGGCAAAGATGGCGGATTTCATTTTGAGATTGTTTTTGATAAATATTTATGAGWAGAATTGGAGCAGAATCTATCTGTTACATCACAAAAAGGACCTGTAATTCGTCGGGTGAGGCACGCGGGAGATTCTTTTCCACCCATGTTTGTTACACGCGCCTCAACACAAAAGAACCGTAGAAGTCAAAAAGATCCATTTCTTCCAGCTTTTTTACCTCTTTTTTACAGCGTTGAGAGCCAAACATCGGAGGCGAAGATACTTCAACAAAACAAAAACGGGATTCGAGTCAATCACGCCACTTGATGGCATTTAGTATTCCTCGTATTCTCACCACTGAATTGTTACATACGGTTCGTACCTCGTATCGTACCTGAGAGCTCAATCAATATTAATACTACTACCGTACTACTAATACGAAGTACTAGTACTAGGAATAAGTATCATACCGTACGAGAAGTACCGTCCTACCGTATCTACGAACATTGGTTGATTCCCATTAACATGAATTTATTTCAATATGCACTACTAGAGCACAAAAGTTATGTCTCCAATTACATAAACCCGATACACACCAATGGCACTAGTACTAGACCACATCACATCACGCCTCAGGACTGGGTTCTCAGATACTTGACAAATCTTTATTTTAGAAGATTCCAGCACTGATACTGGAAGAAGTTCACCAGAATGCAAGAATTTTTTTGTGGTCACAAACAAGTWATTGCGTTCCTTTTGTTCGTAGAGGTTTTCTAAAGTGTCTCCTTCAGTCCAACAATTCGAGTGCAATCCCACCAGAGGTATTTTGAGGCAGTGGGATACCATAAATAAAATATTGTAACAATATTAGCGGATCATCAAAATTAGTATGCATAATTTTCGTTAGAAATTCTTGTCACCTCTATTTGCATGTTTATTTCCGCTCCCTTTTGGATTCTCATCCTTCCAGTCGTCCCATTCTCTGTCAAGTTTCGCACTGGCATCTACCAGATCTGCATTATCTTCTAATCCATCGTTCGCCAATTGCTCGTATCTCCTTGGTTGCTTCACCCGTTCCGCCTCGGCTGCGTTTTGCCGCGCTTCGCGTTCGACTGCCTCTTGGTATTCCCGTTCGCCCAATTCCTCTAACGTCATGGTCGGTTGCGACCATCCCGGTTGAAAGACTTTCGATCGGATTTCCTCTCGCTTGAACCGAAGCTGTCCGCTCGCGGCATCCTTCGACACGTGGGTGACCTTCAAACCCTTGTTCGACGAAGATGGTGGCCGCCGATTCGGGTCGACTGCATCGTTCCCTTTTCCCGAGAATTTCTGTCTCTGCTGTCGTTCTTCGTCCATCTTGATCATTTGTTCGATCATGGGTAACTCTCGCAACGACTGAGACCAACTTTCCAATGCTTCCAACTTGAATAGGTGTAATTCTTTTAGTGTCATGGATCGTTCGAGAGAATCAAGGTCATGTCCATCGAATTCGTCCTCTGGCGCGACGTCACATCTGCTTCTTCTGTCCTTCAACGACTGCAGTCTCTCGATCTCTTTTCGCTGTTGTTGCTTTGCCTTGAACCGGGCAATTTTTTCCTCCCGGTTGACTGGAGAAGAGATAGTGGTGCTCGTTCCGGATGATTCCACTTGTTGCTGTGTTTCCAGGAGTCGGTGAAACTCGTTTGTTTCTTCCTTCGACAGAATTTCCAACAGTTCAAGCCTTTCRAGGAACTGAGTCCAAAGAGTGAAACTTCGCTGTAGGTTTTCTTTTCGGCGTGCCATTGCACCCGGCTGAACAGGGAGATTTCCAAGCACGACAGCCAACAGATGGTCGATTGCAAGGAAGGGGATCGATTTGGTGCTGATGTCATCGATTGTTTCGTTTTTTGAGAACAGGCCTACGGCCTGCACGTCCTTTTGGAGGCCATCGAGAAGTGGTAGACACTCGCTCGGCGAAGACTCGGCCATCGCCCGCGCGGCGTCAAGACGATCGTTTAGACTCATCGATGGTGCTTTGTCGCCACTCTTTGTGTTGCTGTCCTCGTTTTCCCCCATAGTTGTAAAACGCAATGCCCTGTATTTCCGTATTCGCTTGCACCGCCTTCGCGCAGGTACAGGTTGTTGTCTTCTGAACGGAAGTTGTAAGTTATCCAAGAAAGAAAGTGATTTCGAGATTCCATGATGTGATGTTGACGAGCAGAGTTCCCAATGCCAAAAACTAAAAACTTAGACCAAGGGGACAGACTAGCAGACGGTAAAAGGGGCCATTCCCAGAACGACTAAACAGGCACCAGCCACCTTTTGCTTCAACATTCTGGTTATGGCGGGTGCCCAACTGGTATCTACTATTGGCCCTTGCTTATGCATTGCATACCCCTCATTTTTTTAGGTACTGTTCTTACAAGTTCTTCTTTTCCTTCCTGAACCACCAATTATTACTTATTTATTTCCTGTAGTAATGAAAAAACCACACACTCCTCACCCACCACCACATGATGATGCACCACCAGCCAGGACAAGCTAGTAGTAGTAGTAGTAGTAGTAGTAGTAGTNTAGTAGTAGTAGTAGTAGTAGTAGTAGTAGTAGTAGTAGTAGTAGTAGTAGTAGTAGTAGTAGTAGTAGTAGTAGTAGTAGTAGTAGTAGTAGTAATATTACTAGTGCTAGTGCTAGGACCACATACACACCAGCACCTAAAAAACACAAAGTCAAGAATGACCACCACAACACAGGCACATAAAACAGCAAATGCACCTCTCCCTCCTCCAGTCGCAGTCATTTCAATTGCAACAACTAAAAGAAACAATCAATCTACTTCTCACTTTGCATATGTTGATCACCACCACATCCCCCATAAATCCTGCAAGTTTCAGAGTGAGTGTGTCACAACTTAGGTTCCTCAGAGAGGTAWTTGTTAAAATTTGAAACTGCTTTCTGCCTTGTGATTCTAGTACTAATTCTGCCAAGTGGTGCATCCACTACCTCGTGGTAGAATGAAGTGGTGTGTGATTCCACTGCTCACTGTTTTCTACTAAACAAACAACTTTATTCTGACCAATTACTACCTCACCAAGGCCTATTAGAATCATGACAACACCCCATACTACAAGTGGAACCACCCTCACCAATTTGACTGTCGTTGCTAACAACAACAACAACAACAACAACAACAAATCTTAATATTATTTTTAACCTCGTGAGCTACTAGAAGAGGCGCTATATGGCCAGAACCATATCTTTTGGTGGAAAGAATGCTTCTAGCTGCTCCGAGGGGCGGCACTTCCCTCTGAGGAGTTTTAGTGGAAGGGYGACCAGGGGTGTGTTTCACTGGAATTAAAAGAATTGACTGAGCTTGGTTTGAAGTAAACTGAAAGAATTGACAGGAGGAGCCAAAGAAGTATCTGGCACAACTGGTTGTTTGCGTCACTTCTTTTTGGAGTAGGCATCAAAGACCAGTGAATCTTGTGTGACACTCTCTGGTGGTTGTTTACTATGAGGCATTGGCATAAAGTACTGGGTAATAGGGCAAGTGTTGGAGACTGACGCACTTGAGGCTTGATTGACACTTGCTAGAATTGTCTTCTTGTAGACTCGATGATAATATGTGAGCATGGAAGTAGATGCAGTTGATAAGAAGGCTTCCATATCCTCTGGGAATAGGTGAGCATGGGATGGACAAGTCTGTGATTTCAGGTCAAACAGAGTGCGGACCTTCGTCACCACCTGCTGTTGATGCTTTGCTTGTTTCTGAGAAAGCGTGTAGCCATGGAGATCTTTGTTGCACTGTTCCCATGATGATATATAGGAGATAGCGAACACGTGGTGCCAACCAATCTTGCTCTGACAATGGATAACTGGATGAAGGGATGTAGGGTATTTCTCTGGAGAAACTGTGCCAGTGTCTAGCCATTCGGTAAGATAAGTACCAAAGGTGGCAATGGCGATTGGCAGGAAGCCAAGTGTGGACATCCATTGTCGCAGAGATATAATGGTTTTCCTTAGCCATCGGAGTTGTGACGAGTGAGAACATCAAAAGAGATGCTCAGAATCTTCAGGCGTCTGGCAAAGACAACAAGTATCATGGTTTTGGTAGTTCCACTGTTTGAGAACAGTGGCTGTGGGCAGGATGTGGTTGCAACATTGAGTTACCAACACATTCCTGGAGATGCGATTGATAGAAATGCTCAGGGACTTCCAGGCAATATCGGCAAGAACCCGTGGAGGGACTGTTGCTAACAACAATTTGATGTCAGAAGGCAAATCTTGGCAATGTGATATGGTATTTAATGTTGCCTCTGCAAAACTAGTAGTAAGAAAGTAACAAATGTATAAAGTTGTATGTTTGTCAGAAGATCAATTTTTTGTATTCACTGCTCCCCCTGTCAAACACTCTTGCATCCCAGTTCCTGGTGTATTCTCCATGATCAGAGAAGCACACATTGAACWGGAATAATATGCTAGTTGTAGCTATGATTTGTCAGCACAGAACAAGTATCCATGTAAGCATATCATGGTTGTAATTAACTAAGGTTCACTGGAAAATGTTTGGTGTGAGATGGAATGTGCACTACGRCCATTAATTTGGAAGGAGCATTAAACAATGGAACAATCTGTTTCAAGAGACAGAACATGAAGAAGAGCAATGTGATGTCAAAAGGGCTAAACATATTTTGGTGGATGGACTACTACAGAATCTTGTTTGAGATTTTGAACCTAACAATTCATTTCTTGAATATGGTTCATCCTTTGGCTCCTTAGGCACCAACACTCACCCAACATCACCCAMTGCCAAAAAAGTTAAATATTGGACTGACCAAGCTGTACCTATTGTTGTAGGTCAAGATATCCCAGACATTCCTGACCATTATTCCTCACAAGGTGGCAATGACAACATATTGGAGACAATGATACTGACTACAATATTGATCTGGGTTGTGTTCTGTAGGAGGAATTGTCATTTATATTGCCTGACAGTTCAAAAAGGGTTAATTAATTGCAAGATTCCATATTTTTTATCTTTAAGTACTATGATATTGCTCCCCTTAATTTATTTGTTACTCAACAGGTTCTTCTTTTCTCTTAAGTAGGTAGTCATGGTTTGAATTTGTTGATTGTGGAAACAGCAGTTACTTAATGTTCATGATGAGTCACCACACCAAGCATGGCCCAACAGCAGGTGGTTTTGCATGCACGCCAAAACCAGTGTGTTTAAGCAAAACATCTCTGGTGTCTGTTTAGTTGTTCTGCTAACAAAGTCCAGAGTTAGTTGACTGCATGAAAACATTTTGGCTCCAGGCATGCCAGTTTCCATTATGGCATCCAATATGTCAATCCAGAGTAAGACATTCCAGAAATTCAGAACTTCTCATTGTTGGGCTGCCAATCCATAGTTATTACTTGTTGTAGTAGTATGGTGGGTGGTATGGAATTACTACTATCATGTCATACCACCAGCACTAAGCAAGTGAGTTCAGCTGTAGCAGCTGCAGCAGCAGCCAGTCAGCAAGAGCAGCAGTATGATTGGTGAGAAGGTTCAAGTATTATGGACAAAATAAAGTTCAATTGATGAAGTAGTGAATTGATGAAACCTCTTGTTGGGTGGTGATGATTGCTTCTTCTTATTGTTTGTTGTCATATTGTTTCTTATGATAAGTCAAAATAGGCACAATGCTGAAATTCTGATTTCTTGTTTTGTGTGTTTGACATTTCTGATGGAGTTTTTGGCAGTATTTTCCAGGAGGAGGAGAGTTATTCTTACCAAAAAAATTGCAAGTTCTACAACTAAGAAATCTCAAAAGTACCAGCAGAAGCAAAACATAATAAGTCTCATTACTTGATAGTATGTACTAGAACTAGTAGCAGCAAGACATTGTTGAAAACCACACCACCCATGTCTACTATTGTCCATCTCTTGGTTCAGAGGTCATCAAGATGATGACACCATCATAAGAAATACCACTAACAATTCCCTATCCTAATATCTACAGTGCTGCCACAATTTTCACTGCAGCAGCGACACAAATCTGATCACTCAGCACTTCCCTCCACCATTGTTTCTTCTCCMKCAATACTAGTATATTGGCACCAGCAGAGAGTGTCACTCTACTATGTCATAATACTGGTCCTTGATACATACTCCAAAAAGAGAAGAGATATGAAAACTAAAACACTACCAGACTCTTATCTGCTGGTTCCCTGTGATGCTCCTTCCCAATCCTACAAAACTGCCCTAAGCCAAAATTTAAAAAAAATCCAGCATGGTGCCCCATTACATTGTTGGTGTACTACAAGGCTGGTTATGCTTCTCCAGGAGTGCCACCCCTTGGAGCAACTTCTAGAGGCAGGCATCAATTTTGTCCCCCCTTGAATTGATGGTCCTGGTCTTCCTGGTGCTTATTCTAGCTAGTTCACAAAGTTGTTAAATAATATTATTTTTTAAGAACAAATGGTTGAAACCAAAACATTTCCAGAAACCTTCCCTGCTGTAACCAGGGAACAGCTCTTGCATTGTTGGTAGTAATACTGTTACTGTTTGTTGGGTTTGACTTTACTAATACTGTAATCCCACTTTGTCTCTTGCTTGTTTCAGTCTAATTGGTGATCTTTTATTCCTGATATTCTTTAGGACATCAAAATTAACTAAGACTAGTAGACTTTGCTACTCCTCTTCATATGCAAGTATAGAACTTTGCTGCTCCTCTTTGTATGATGCAAAGTCATCATTTTTTGAAGTTACCTTTTTCAATGACACTTTGTTCTCCTAAACTGAAGTTTTGGGATTTGAGGCAGCTTTRAAGCTTCCTTGATTGCAATCATGTGATCTGATAATGAGCCATTTGAACTGTTCCAGTATGTTTTGAGAAATTCAGAACACTTGCCATCATTGATTGTACAGTGTAGGTCTCCAATCTTGTTCATTCTTGTTGCATCCTACTAAGCAAGAAGAATATCCTCTACTAGTAGGAGTCCATTCAATGATTTTGTAACCCCCCAGAATTTCAGCATGCTGTTCTTTCAACATCTTTCTTCTGTTTTTTTTAAGGCCAAGACCTGCACCAGACAATCTTACAGTTTTCCTTTTATTGAATGATAGTAAATATCTTTTCCAGGATCTCCTTCCACTGGTTTGAGTTGATTGAAACCACCAAAAAAGACATGGTTGAAAATTTCTCTATGATCCACAGACAAACTAGTGATACCTCCCAAACCTGTATTGTGAAGTGCAATTGCACTTGAATTTGGTTGTAATATGTGTGTTTATCAATATTCTTCCACAATTTGTCTGACGTTGTGTGATCATTGATATGTGACAATAAAAGTGTTATTTTGCAGCGTAGTATTGAACCTATTCTTCTTTGACTGAATCAGACCTTCTGGATCATAAATCATCATGTACATGCTGTCAACAAAATCTACCCAAAGCCCACCACMACCATAGGAACTGCTGGTAGTAGTAGGACTACTACTAGTGGGCAGCATCCACCACATCTCAAAGATATTGTTTTGTTTGTCCTAGAGCATCTCTTAACACTCCAGCATAAAAGTTCTAGGGCATCTCTCAAGAACACTCCCAGGACAGKATAAAAAGTTGAGGGCATCTCTCAACACTCAAATAAAAAATTGTGAGCATTTTTCAGTAATATCTTTCCAAATAAAAATTCTGAATTTTGCAAATATTTTTCATCTGTTTGGAAATCATTTTCTGAATGCTGGACAAAGAGAAGCATTAATGTTTTGATTGCCATGAAGTGATACTACATGACGTAGCCAATATCATCCTTGTCTGAATCATCAATATCATCTGAGAATATTGAAGTAACCAATGGAAGAGCATGGAGTTGATCAAATCATTGGCAAGAATGAAATTATAAATAGATCATCTTTTAATTTGCCTGGGTTCTGCATGCATGATTTTTTGAGACCTAAGATTTACTATGAAATTGGATACACTTGTAGACTACTACTATAAAATGATCATAACTTCAACAAATAAAGCTTCAAGATAATTTGAAATGCTTATCCAACTTTCACTGATCATAGAATGAAAGTGAAAATCCTATTGATGACCCAAGAGTACTRCAGCATTGGTGGTGGTAGTGGAGAGGAGACCATTGATGCAATGGAAGAATAACATGATTACTATTACTATTGTTAAAAAACATATTCTACTTGACAATTGTATTTTCTACTACAAGAAGTGCCATCTACACCAATCAGCTAATACTCATTGATTTCTTGCTCATTTACATACTGGTGAAGACTGTGGCCAATTGATATYTAATACTATTACTACTGGTAAAACTAAAAAGAGAAATACTGTTCCTCCAAAGATCTTCAGCCATCATTATTTGTACATGGCACTGGTAGAGGCCACCAATCTCTAGTACATAGTAGTATGAAATTGTATTTCTGGCTTCAGATTCTTAAGCATAGGTCCAATACAACAATTATCATGGACAACAAGTTGAAATTACCTTTTGAGGTCTTCCTCCTCTCAGTGTGCTGCTGCTGCTGGCAAAGATGCTACAGTGTTGCTTGTTTGATGCAATTGTTAGAATCAAAATATTTGAAYACAGGCTTGAAGAGCAAGCATAAATAACAAGAACAAAGGGTATTCAAAGATCATTTGGTTAATGGTAGAACTAGTTGTAGCACTGCTGTCAAGAAGAGTTCTGATGTTGACAGACAACTTGGTGACAAGAAGGAGCAAAAAGAAGAACTGCTGGTGGTGGAGTTTACTACTGACATGAGGAAACATGGGTGATAACATGGAAGGAATGGGGATGATACAGGGGAGGAGGAAGAAATTTTT